TTTTTTTGAGATGGAGTTTCGCTCTGTCACCTAGGCTGGAGTGCTATGGCACAATCTCAACTCACTGCAACCTCTCCCTCCTGGATTCAAGCGATTCTCAGTATCTCTAGTAGCAGGGATTACAGGCACGTGCCACCAAGCACAGCTAATTTTTACAATTTTAGTAGAGATGGAGTTTCACCATGTTGGCCAGGCTGGTCTTGAACTCCTGACCTCAGGTGATCCACCTGCCCTGGCCTCCCAAAGTGCTGAGATTACACGTGTGAGCCACTACATCCAGCCCAGATGATATTTTGGTGAGACTTTGAACATGAAACTTTTGAGTTAATGCTACAATGTTTTAAGACTTTTTGGAGCTATTAGAATCAAATGAATGTATTTTAAATATGAGAAGGACACAAATTTTGGGAAGCAGGTTCACAATGTTGTGGTCTGAATTTTTGTGTTTCCCCAAATTCAGACCATCTAATCCCCAAGGTGATGGTATTAAGAGTTGGGGCCTTGGGAAGGTAATTAGGTCTTTGGGAGGTCTCCACTATTCTTAATGGAATTCATTTTCTCATAAAAGAAGTCTGAGGGAATTTGTTCACTCCTTCTACCAAGTGCAAACAAAGCTAGAAGGTGCTATCTTTGAAGCACAGAGCAAAGCAGAGAGCTAGACACTCAATCTCCTGAGACCTTGATTTTGGACTTTCCAGTCTCCAGAACTGTGAGCAATAAATCCTGGTTGTTACAAATTACCCATTTGTAAGATATCTTTTTAAGCAGCCCAAATAGACTAAGACACTTCTCTTGTTTTTTCCTCAAAGACAAAGCTTCTAACATTTCACCATAGAGCATATTTGCTAAAATGTATCAGATTAAGAAAAATTCCTTCCATTTTAGCTATTAGTTTCTTTTGAAGTCATAAATGGATATTTAATTTTATCAGATGTTTCTGTTTTTTGCATTCCTGACCATCCTATAGTTTTTCTACTTTATTCGTTAATGTGATGAATTACACTGATTCATTTAAAATGTTTAAAAACCTTGAATTCCTGGTGTAAACCAAACTTGGTTATGATATGTTACCTTTTTTAATTGCTAGAGTATCTACATTTTGGTTGGGATTTTAAAACTATCTTCATAAATGATATAGACTTACAACTTTCTCTTTTTGTAGTGCCTTTTTCAAGTTTTTGCATCAAGTTTTGTTGGCCTCATAAAATGAGATGAACATGATTTCATCTTTAATAATTCTCAGGAACATTTAATGTAATACTTGTACAATTTCTTTCTTTAAAACTTGGTGGAATTTACTCTAGTAGCCACATGAGCTAGGATTTTGGCAGTGGAGGCTCTCTATGAGATAGATGTCCAAGCTGTTATTTTCAAACAAGTACAAGTTATACAGAAGTTCTGTAATAACTTTCACCTCCACAGTTCCCTTATGAGGGAAAGTATTTTTTATCTGACCTATTCTAACAACCTTCAGCTTCTGAACCAGGTGATACATCTTTATAGTCTCTGAATTCTGAAGTCTCCTTGTCTTTACAGGTCAACCTCTAGAGAAGGGAACTCAGAAGATGGCTTGAGCTCAACTATCTTTCATGGTAATTACTTGGGCTAGAGAATAATCATATATTCTTACCATATCAAATAATGAAACAATAGGCTGTCCCACAGTCCATTCCTCCTCTCCCATCATCCATCAACTGTTGTTGCCAGCTTTCCCATCAAATAATATTCTAGTCAAGAAACAAGCACTATGTTCACATATATCCTCCACACCCCCCCGAAGAAAACTCCAGGTACTCAAAGTTAAGACTGTTTTCCATGGACTCCTTACTGATGGTTTCAAGGCATTCTTTTGGAGCTTATAAGACTCAGCTTAGGAAGTACAGACATAAAAGTGAAATATATAAGGTAATGTATTATTTGATAAAAGTTGATTCCAAATAAGCACAGAAAGATGAACTATTCAGGAAATGGTATTGGCACAATTCTTACTCATCAGGAAAAATATAGTTTAATACTTATTTCATATCTTATACTTAAAAAATTCCAGATAGATTAAAGCTTTAAACATCTAAAAGAAACAAAAACCATATTAGAGAGAACATAATAATTTTTTTGTTTTTATTACATTTTTATTATTATCTTGAAGTGAGGAAGGACTTTTTAAATAAGACAGAAATTCAGAGCCATAAAAGATAACAAAAAATAGAATTGCAAAAAATTCTTTAAAATAGAAACCATCTTAAACAAAGTCATAAAGCAAACAAAAGCATGGAAGATCACTGCAAATTACACTATAGAGAAAGCTAACTTCCCTAATATGTAAACAGTTTTCACAAATCTCTATGAAGGCCAACAACTTTACAAACAAATGGACAAAGAATAGAAACAGAATGTCACAAAACAGGAAAAGATGTTCAATTTCACTTAAGATATAATAAAATTTTACTGATATTATAATAACACACTACTCTTTACTTAACAAACTGACCAGGATGGAAAGTTTGATTATACATTGTTGTAGGAAAGGTTGTAGGAAAGTAGACATTCTAAACATTGTTGTTGGGAGTATAGTTTGACACAACCTCTATGGAGGGCTACAACCTAGAAATAAGGATTAACTGAAATTAAATTAGACTTTAATGGGAATAAAATCCAACTTTCAAAGACCTGATGTCTGCTTGAATTATGTTGTTCTCACCCTTCAGTAGTTTTTTAACCTAGACTGCCAGAGGAAATGCAGATACTTTCTGGAGGAAAATATCATCTAGAACTTCAAATTATAATATTCATTTCTCAATTTATAAAAAACAGAAACAACTAAGAAAAAAACCATACAAACTGGCATACATGAACATAATATAATGTGACCCAAAACTAAGAAATGTAATAGACTGGATACCAAATATGGAAATATCAAACACATATTTAAAGTAACAGATTTTAAAGTTATACATTCAGTATGTTCAAATAAATAAAGAAAAGAGTGGTAATTTAGGAAGAGAACAGGATGTTTTAAAATAATCAAATGTAAGGTCTAGAACTGAAAAATAATACCATCAGATTAGACACAATTGAAGAGGGAGTTAGTGAACTCGAAAGGATAAGTCAAAAGAAAGTGAAATATAAAGAGAAAAAAAAGACAGAATATAAAAACAAACAATAAAGTATTAGTGTAATAAAATCCTAACAATCTCCTACTAACATCAAAATTGGGAACACTATCACAGGTTTGACTTCAGGAAAGAACAAAAAACCACAATGTGAATTTAAATTATTTTTCTTGTATATTGTTAAAATTTAATAAAAATCTAGGTGAGGGCTTCTTTTCATTTTTAGGACTTGAGCAGGGAACATCTAAAAAATCAAACATATTAGCTAAATAATACATATCAGAAAAAAGTTTAATTACTTACATTCCATATGCTGAGCTTACAGCAAGACTAGTAATCTGTTGTGGAGGTTCACCATCTACCCACACCAACTGAATAACAAGTTCTGCTTGATATCCTGGAGGCATTCGCACTGGCCGTGTCTTAACACTTTAAGAGCAAAAACAATCCTATTATACACAGTTTAAATAAACATGGTCAAACTTATCTTGAGAATTTACATAGAATCATGCTACAGAAATATACAACACCAGGCATTGCAGGCAGCATGCAGATGGACGATGTCTTCTAGCTTTCTCAAAATGCACTGAGTCCTTTATGATTACTTAGTTATTTCTTTATGTGGCTTTTCAGTCAGTTAGGTCCACAACTTCAACTGGCCTTTAACACTTCAATTTTTTATTTTGAGAATATTATTTTAAGTTATTTTTATTATGTAATTATTTTTCTAATGTAATATATGTTACATATATATCAGTTATAAAGCATAACAATAAAACAAATGACCATTAACCTACCCTCCAGTATATATATCTAGCATCTGAATTCTTATTTTCCTTTAAATCTAATATCCTTCTCTCACACTTTCCAACCAACCAATTATCAAATACTGTTGATGCTACTTTCAAAAAATATATCCATGAGCTAAAATTTTATGATGATGTTTCCTCTTTGTAGATTTTCCTCCCAGTAATATTTGCTCATTTTCCTTCTTTTTATGTACTTCAAAAGAAAAGTTTTGAGAGGACAATCAATGATTACAAACGTATAGCATCTGCTAATTGTATGAATTTTGCTCCTAAAATCTTATCTCTCAATTTTCCATAAGCATATTTGTAAGAAATGGGAAAACTAGTTGTCTAAAGTTTTTTGAGTGGCAAATGTAGATATGCAGCTCAAAGAAATTCCCTGCTTAGGCTTAATTCTCCAGCCGGCTAATACTAGAAATATTTGGTTTGATGGTATAGAAGCAGTAAGTAGTAATTTATACTCTACTACTAAAAATCATAAAAACAATAAAATATTACCATGGGCTTGTTAACTTTAGGTTTTACTGAACATGATGTAAATCTTTGTTTAGTTTATTAATAAATAACAGTTTTAAAAAAGAAAGATTATGCAATATACTAGCAATCATGAGAGAAATCCTTTTTTCTAACATAGAACTCTTGTAGTAGATAGTAAACTTGGTTTTCTTTTTGGTTCCAAGAAAGCTAAATAAATTACATAAACATACTTTTAAAAATTATCATTATTATTTTTTTGGAGACAGGGTCTTATCACCCAGGCTGGAGTACAGTGGCAGGACCACAGCTCACTGCAACCTTGAACTCCTGGGCTAAAGTGATTCTCCCGCCTCAGCCTCCCTAGTAGCTGGGACTACAGGAGTGTACCATCACACCCAGCTAATTTTCAAACTTTTTGTAGATACAAGGTCTTGCTATGTTGCCCAGGCTGGTCTCGAACTCCTAGCGTCAAGCATTCCTCCCACTGCAGCCTCCCAAAGTGTTGGGAATACATGCGTGAGCCATCACACCCCATAAATATACTTTTTCAATTGGAAACTACCAAGCAAGTGGCCAAGTTTCTGCCCTGCCAAACTTCCTATTCTATCAAAGCCATGTTTTCTTTAGAGTCCTTCTGGGAAGGAAACATATAAATAAGTAAATGAAGGATGAAAATATTATGCCCTCTTCACGGATGTTCAAAAAAAAGACCAGATTAACCCCTGAAGAATTGTAGATCACTTGACAACAACTTGATAATTAGAGAAAATTAATTTTATTTGTCACAATTTCAAAGACATATGATTCATATATAAAACTGTTTTAAAATTTGGTAGAAACTCTTACTTGAGGCATGGGATACTGTCCTTTGTTACTCCTTCACTAGCGACAGTGTTAGTGCTCCCAGAAAGACTCCCTGAAGAAGGAAGCTGGGCTGAGAGATCTGGAAACGGAGGACTTGTTTCTGGTTCAGGGGTAATAATATCTTCAACATCATACTGAAGTCGTACCTCTAATGACTTAAAAAAATCAAGTTTAAATTTAATCTAAGCCACAATAATAATCATCATTTTAATTTAATCTAAGTCATAATAAATAATCACATTAAAATACCTGATAACTTTTTAGGAATCATTCACACAGTTTTTTTCAAATTAATAAGTTCAATACTACTTATAGTAAAGTTGAGCAGTATCTCATACTAAATCAAATAGTTAATTATATGGAATATTCAATGGCAATCACAAAAAATGTAAATTTTTAAACTTCAGAATTAAAAGAAAAATAACTCAGTGAAGATAAAGTTTTTATATAATAAATATATTTTACGATATAGTATAAATTACAATTTGATATGTGATAAAATAAAATGAGAAGTTGGTTATGGTTATTCCAATGAAAGAAATTAAACTTTTTTCATATACACACACAAACATGTATGTGTGTGTGTATTGTATATGTTTGTGTGTGTATAAAAAAATTACTTGTTTAAAGTATTTAGTATAAAAAACTTTCATTGCATTTTTAACTTTGCATTAATTCACTAAAAATTTTCCAATAGAAATTCCATATTTTTGGTTGGTTGTTTCATTACCTTGGCTTTTGTTTAATTTAATTAGTTGATCAGAATTACTTGATAAAAAGCATATAACAATTTATATAGGAATAAAAAGGTGACCTAAAAACCTTTTTTAAACTAAAAAAATTTTAAAACTAAATACTTTATGAATGCATAAAATACATTAAATGATTTAATTAGAGCTGATTTTATAACACATATTTGCCTTACAATGTAAAAGTGAGCATTTTTGAGATTGAAAACAGTTACTTACAAAAATGTCATTATGGGAATATTACCAAAATTATTGTCATAATTATTTTAAAACTATAGAAAAACCTCTGGTGGTGACAATACAGTTACCAATTATTGAGTGCTCACTACAGTAAGGACACTATTATAATGTCTTTATACAATCCTCACAAGAACCCTATGAAATTGGTATCTGTATTTCAAGTTTATTTTCCCATTTTATTTACACAGGGAATTGTACACGTGATGAAACTGAATCATAGCTACATTCTACTGCTGACTTACGACTTGCTCAGAGTCACACAGATATTTAATGGGAAAGCCAGAATTAAAACGTAGGTTTATCTGACTCCAAAGCCTTGGCTTTTAGCTACTATATAATAAAAGGGTGATACTAATTTTAGCTGTTGAGGTAAAAACACTTACACACAGGCCTATAGTAAATAATCTTTATATTCTGGTAAAAGGGGCAAGGTAGAGAAGGACAATTGTTTATAGGTGGCTTCATTTAGAATTAATTTATCTCATAAAATCATTATTCTTTTGAATAAGTGGAGTATTCATTGATTTAAAAATTAAGATTAGGTAAGGTTGCCCCGCAATTAGATCCACCCCGTAAAAATGTTGCTACACAGAAAATCATTAAAAATAACCTTATTGTAGCTGAGAAATAATCATGTACGGCAAACAGTTGATGAGAAAATACAAATCAGATACACTTAAAAATTAATAAAAGTATAGAACAAAGAAAGCCTGCATTAATTTGATTTTTATGCAAAATAAATCAATAACTACAGGTATAAAACCTATACATTTTATTAGTATATATAGAAGAATATATAGGTATATATTCCACAATATATACATATTTCAAACCATCATGTTGTAGAGTTGACTTATTTTGGCCAGGTAGCTGCGACTCACATAAAATCAAAGAGAAAAATGAGAAAATTGTGACATGTTTAATTTGTAACAAGATTAACTTAAAATACTAAGCTTGTTTTGACATTGAAAAAAATATCAAGGTTTGATAGAGAATTGTTTTGGCCTTTTAAGCCAAACCATTTATTAATATGTTATAGTAAGTAACAATAATAATTTAAAATCCTACGAATTGTATTACTGACCATATAGTGCACACTTCATGGAAACTATACCAAGTAGTAGTCAAATCTATGATAATAGTTTTCTTTTAATAACTGTAAAAGTGAAAGTTAAATTTTAAATAACTTACCACTATTTCTGTTGTAATTTCATGTCTGCTGAATTTATAAATTATGACATATGCAGAGACTCCTGATACACAGAATATTCTGCTCTCTGGACACCAGTAAATCATCTGAATGGCAAATGGGTCTTCCTCTACAATTTCACATGTTTGTTTTCCTTCTCCGACCTTCTGTTTTTCAAACACTTTTGAAGTTTTTAGCTTGTACAGCATCTGCAGAGTTACTATAAGACATCGAAGCACAGTTATCTTCTAATTTAAACTTAATTCTTAGATGTTATTAAAGCTTTACCAAGATATTTGTTAAACCACAAAAGTAAACCTAAGTAGACAAAGTGAATTACATTTATCTAGTAAGCATTTAATGCCACGCTTTCATATAGTACAGTAGCTAGAGGGAGACTACAGGGAAAAAATAAACATTCCTTGAATATATACTACATACCAAAGAATATATAGTTGCTTTCTTGAGTCATTCTCAGAAAAGTTTCATGAAGGAAGTATTTTAATCATTATTTATTGATGAAAATATTGGGGATCAGAAAGTCTAAAATGGGAATATTGAAAATAATTCTTCCCTAGCAGAGACTTCTTAATTCTTTATCTCAGTTTTCCCCTTTCATTGCTAGATGAGAGGGTGATGGTATTCCTAGAGGGTTTACTCCTCTCAACAAATTTTTAGACACTCCTTGAGATAAGAAACATTGTAATTTACCAGTTAGCAATATTGGGAGTCCAAGAATCTGTAACTATTTAAGAAGGGATCTTTTCTGAGTGGCTCTGTGTCAAGAAAGGGTCAGATATAATCTCCTAAATTGTGTTTGTGAACTGTTTTCAAGAATATTTGGGGGAATATTTTTCCATTGGAGACCAGATGATAATAACTCTATAAAAGAACTATGATTCTACAAAGGATCCTTGAGTAAAGTTTTAAATAAGAGTCCTGTGAAAAGTGCATCACCTGAATCTAATAATGAGAAACATTAGTCAAAACCAGACTGAAGGAGATTATATAAAATAATTGGCCTAAACTCCTCAAAAATCTCTATGTCATGAAATGAAGACTCAGGAACTTTTCCAGATTTTTAAAAACTCAGAACATACAATGACTAAATGCAAAAATAATCCTGGAATTTTTTGTTGTAAAGAATATTAATCTGCGGCCGGGCGCGGTGGTTCACACCTGTAATCCCAGCACTGTGGCAGGTCGAGGCAGGCGGATCACCAAGTCAGGATATCGAGGCCATCCCGGCTAACGTGGTGAAACCCCGTCTCTACTAAAAACACACACAAAAAAATAGCCGGGCGTGGTGGTGGGCGCCTGTGGTCCCAGCTACTTTAGTCGGGAGGTTGAGGCAGGTGAATGGCGGGAACCCAGTGGGCAGAGCTTGCAGTGAGCCAAGATTGTGCCACTGCACTTCAGCCTGGGCAACACAGCGAGACTCTGTCTAATAAATAAATAAATAAATATATATACACACACACACACACACACATACACATACATATATATACACACACATATATATACATACATATATATGTGTGTGTGTGTATTTGCAAAAGCTGAATAAAATGCGCAGATTAGATAACAGTGTTGTGTCAGTGTTAATCTACTGGTTTTGATGACTAAAGTCTGGTTATGTAAGCGAATGTTTGTAGGAAATACACACTGAAGTATTTAGGGGTATGTAATGTGTCTCAAACTTACTCTCAAATGGATAAGAAAAAAAGCTATATGTATATATGTACATGTGTGTGAGAGAAAAATGTGAGGAGGAAAGAGAGAAAGAGTAAGAGAGAGAGCCGGAGAGAGGGAAAGAATATTTGGAGAATCTGGTTGAGAGGTATAAAACATTTCATAGTACTTTTTTTTGCAATTTTTTGTAAGCTTGAAATATGTCAAGCTAAAATAGATTTTTTAAAAAATGGGCAAAAGATTGTATTGGGTGCTATAGCCTGGCTTCTGAGGTCAGGATATCATTTCTATGATTATTTATGTTACATGACAACAGTAAAATGATGTTGCAGACATCATTAAGGTCCCTCATTAGTTGACTTTGAGTTAATAAACAAAGAGTTTATTCTTAACAAGCCAAACCTAATCAGATGGCCCCCTTAAAAGAGGGACTGAGGCCCTCCCTGAAGGTAAAGAGACACTCTCTCTTGCTAGCTTTGAAGTAGCAAGCTACCATGAGCTCTGAATGTGCAAGAAAATGAAGTCTGCCAACAATTACATAAGCTTGGAAGAGAACCTTGAGTCTCATGAAGCCGCAACCCCAGCCAACACCTTGATTACAGCCTTGTGAGACCCCGAGCAAAGGACCTAGCTAAGGTATAATCAAATTCCTAACACACAGAAACAGTGAGATGACAAATGGGTATTGTTTTAAGCTGTTAAATTGTGGTAATTTATTACTCAGCAATAGAAAACTAAGATACATAATAATATAAACTCAGTTATTCAAATTCATTTTGCTTTCTGTATTAGACAGTGTTTCACAAAGTTAGCGAACCAAGTGATTTTTTTTAGACATCCATTAAGTTGGAGATTGACCTTGATTACAGTAAAAATATTAAACATGCTGCCATCATTTGCAATTTATATTCTAAATGTGATAAAATATTTATTTAAAAACTACCTTCTCAAAATATTATTATGCATGCTTAATGGTGTTATTCACTCTAATAATTAAAGTGTTAAAGTGTTCTCTACATTTAATTTAATTAATTTATTTATTTATTTTATTTATTATTGTTATTTTGTTTGGAGACGGAGTCTTGCTCTGTCACCCAGGCTGGAGTGCAGTGATTTGATCTCGGCTCAGTGCAACCTCTGCCTCCCGGGTTCCAGCAATTCTCCTGCCTCAGCCTCCCAAGTAGCTGGGACTATAGGTGCATGCCACTACACCCGGCTAATTTATATATATATTTTTTCTTTCAGTAGAGACGGGATTTCACTGTGTTGCCCAGGCTGGTTTCGAGCTCCTGAGCTCAGGCAATCCGCCTGCCTAGGCCTCCCAAGGTGCTAGGATTACAGATGTGAGTCACCACGCCTGGTCCTCCACATTTTAAAAGCCAAAAAGTGACTGAGGCGGTGGGAAAGGAGCATTGGCATCACTATGCAATGAATTTTGTTCCAGGAACAAACTCAAAGATTCATCAACAGAAAGTCTGTTGCCCTTTGAAGTTTCTCTTTAGGTACTTGCTTTTTATTATGTGAAATCAGAAGGGGACTTTAGAATGCATGAGTTTAGATCTTTTAATCCTTTTCTCTTGCTGATAGTTTGTTTGCTTGTTCAAGGGACTCTACCTTGTGGGCTAAGAATATTGTCAATATTCAACCTTCTTCCTCTGCTTGTGTGTTTATTGTAGTCTTCCTCAGAAGCTATTCATTTCTACAGCTTCAAACATCACTTTTATGCTGCTTCTTCATTGGTTTCCATTTCTGACTTTTCTCGCTACCTGCTGGATATTTTTACTTGAATTTTCTGGTTTTACTAAAAAATTCAAAGCTCTCTTATATTCCTTCTTTCCAAAAGAGTTACCTACATCTTCCTGGTTACTCATATGCAGAAACTTAGAGTCACTGTTAACTTGTTCTTCACTCCTATTCCTGTCAAAAGTTAACTATCTTCCAAAACTCACACTAAATGTTAACTCCATCAAAATACCTTTCCTGGATCTACCAGGTCTCAATAAGGCTCTCTCATTTCTGATCTAAATAATCTGCATTTAGAGTTCTTATATTGCTTTCCCTATAGTTATATATGTGCATTTCTTTACCTTTTCTAATGACCACAATTTTTCTGAAGGGTATATGTGAGTATAATGAAGTCTTAAGTATCTTTGCATGACCTTCAACATTGAGCAGAGTACCTTATTTATTCTTTAAGTTACATAATTCTCAAGAATTTAAAAAGAGTTCTTACAGTTATCAAATCATTTGATCTTTGCAGGATGTGGTAGATGAGTGGGGAAGAAAAGAGAAAACTGGAGGGATATAAGCACTTGGCGAAGACCACACAGGTAGGACGTGAAGGAAATTCCTTGAACAGAGTTAATCTGACAAAGTTTGGTACTTTTTCTGATGTATCATGCCTCTTGTAGATATAATGGGTTGCTGACAAAGAGTGACTTAGTCTTGTTTACCTTATATTACAGAAGAGAAGTAAAGTAGAGATAATACTTTCAACTGATCTAACAATGTAGGTAATGGATTTTTGTAACACAGCCACATATGTATGCTAAAAATATATCTGAAATTTTAATTGCCCAAACTAAAAAGTGGTAGTTGGCTATAAGTAAATACTAACCAATTGGTTTCTGTTGTACAGAAACTTGAAACTTACTTGCAGAAGCATCCCAAAATTTTATTGATCCATCTGCATGACTAGATGAGAAATAAATTAGCATTAATTAAGGTATACTAAATAAAAATAATAATCACTCCAAATGTACAGAAACTTGAGTTACTGTTGATACAATTTTGATTCAAAAATACCACGTTAATGAAAACTAATGTATGCTAAACCATTTCTAAGCTTAAAACAATGGTTCATTTCTTAAACAATATACTAAAATCTAAAGATTAGAAAAGGAACAATAATTCCTTAGACTTTACTGTAAAAAGATTGTATGTGTAATGGAGAGCAATGAAACATGGCCCGTGGAAAGTGAACAACATATTTTCATGTAAAATTATTTATATTCAATAAAATGATAATTTTGATATTAATATAAACATGAATTGAATATCATAGTAAAATTGAAGTTAAGTTTCAAAATATAAAACCAAATCATCAAATGTATCTAGAGTTGCATCATTATTTGGTAATAATCAAATGTCAATTCTATAAAAACTCATCAAGAAAATAGAAGAAGATATAATACTTCCCAACACTTTTGATGAAGTCAGCATTACCCTGACATCAAACCCACACAAAAACATTACAATAAAAGAAAATTACAAACCGATATTCCTCATGAGAATAGGCATAAAAATTGTCAATAAAATATTGGCAATGCAAATCAAGTAATATATAGAAAGGATAGTACACAATGACTAAGAGGGTTTTCTTAGGAATGTAAGACAAACACTTAAAGAATCAACTACCATATTAAAATTCACCATATTGACAGATTACAAAAGAAAATCCATATTGTTATCTCAATAAATGCAGAAAAAGCATTTGACAAGATTTATCATCCATTCCTAAAAAAACTTTCAGTAAACTGGGAACAGAGGAAATTTCTATAACCAGATAAAAGGTGTGTAGGAACAACCTACAGATATCTCCTAACATACATAATAATGAAAGATTGAATGTTTTCCCCTAAGATCAGGAACAAAGCAAAAAAAATGTTCACTCTCACCATTCTTATTCAACATCTTATTGGAGGTGTTAAGCACTGAAATAGGGAAGAAAAAGAAATAAAAGGCACACAGACTAAAAGGGAAGAAATAAAATTATTTCTATTTGCAGATTTTATGGCTATGTAGAAAATCCCAGAGATTCTACACAAAGGATACTGGAACTCATAAATGATTAGCACAATTATAAGACACAATATCAATATACAAAAATCAATTGTATTTCCATGGAATAGCAATAGACATTTGGAAATAACAAAGTAGTACCACTTACAACAGTGCCAAAACCAAGAAATAGATAAAATTTAACACAGTTTGTGCCAGATCTGTATGCTGAAAATTGGAAGATGTTGACCAAAAAATAAGGCATTAATAAAAGGAGATATATGTTATTGATAATTGTATCACTTATTAGATGTTTGTTCCCCTAAATGGCATATACATTCAGTGTAATCACAATTAAAATATGGTAAAACAATTTTTTGTAGAAATAAACAAACTGATGGTCATACTGCCCAAAGCAATGTGCAGATTCATCACTATTCCTATCAAACTACCAGCATCATTCCTCACAGAAGTAGAAAAAAAACTATTCTAAAATTCTTATGAAACCAAAAAAGAGCCTGAATAGCCAAAGTCATCCTAAACAAAAAGAACAAAGCAGGAGGCATCACACTACTCAACTTCAAACTATACTATTAGGCTACAGTAACCAAAACAGCATGGCACTGGTTCAAAAACAGACACATAGACCAATGGCACAGAAGAGAAAACTCAGAAATAAAGCCTCACACCTACAACCATGTGACCTTTGACAAGGCTGACAAAAACAAACAATGGGGAATGAACTCCTTATTCAATAAGTGGTGCTGGGATAAGTGGCTAGGCATATGCAAAATAGTGAAACTAGACCCTTACCTTTCACCATATACAAAATTTAACTCAAGATGGATTAACAATTTAAATGTAAGACCTCAAACTACTAAATACTAGAAGAAAACCTAAGAAATACCCTTCTTGATATCAGCCTTGGCAAAGAATTTATGGCCAAGCCCCCAAAAATGATTGTGACAAAAGCAAAACTTGACATGTAAGAACTAATTAAACTCAAGAGCTTCTGCACAGCAAAAGAAACTATCAACAGACTAAACAGACAACCTACATAATCGGAGAAAATATTTACAAACTATGCATCTGACAAAGGTCTAATATCCAGAATCAATGAGGAACTTGAAAAAACCAAAAAGCAAAAAACAGATAACCCCATTAAAAAGTGGGCCAAAGACATGAACAGACACTTCTCAAAAGAAGACATACAAGCAGCCAATAAACATGAAAAAATGCTCATCATCACTAATCATCAGAAAAATTAAAATCAAAACATGACCAGGCACAGTGGCTCACACCTGTAATCCCAGCACTTTGAGAGGCTGAGGGCGGCAAATTATGTGAGGTCAGGAGTTCTAGACCAGCCTGGCCAACATGGTGAAGCCCTGTCTCTACTAAAAATACAAAAATTAGCCAGGCATGGTGGCACAGACCTATAATCCCAGCTACTTGGGAGGCTGAGGCAGGAGAATTGCTTGAGCCCAGGAGACAGAGATTGCAGTGAGCCGAGATCATGGCACTGCACTCCAGCCAGGCCAACAGAGCAAGTCTGTCTCAAAAAAAATAAATAAATAAAAAGAAAGAAAGAAAATCAAAACACAATAGGATACAATTGTACAACAGTCAGAATGGCTATTATTAAAAAGTTGAATAGTAACAGATGCTTGCCAGATTGCAGAGAAAAGGGAATGCTTAAACATTGTTGGTGGGAATGTAAATTAGTTAAGCCACTACTGAAAATAGAAAGCAGTTGGGAGATTTCTCAAAGAACTTAAAACAGAGTTACCATTTGACCCAGCAATCCCATTACTGGGTATATAAACAAAGCAACATAAATCATTATACCTAAAAGGCACATGCACTTGTATGTTCATTGCCATGCTATTTACAATGGCACACGGAATCAACCTAGGCACCCAACAACAGTGGACTGGATAAAGAAAATATGGTACATATGTACCATGGAATATTACATAGCCATAAAAAAGAGTGAAATCATGTCCTTTACAGCAACATGGATGTTGTAAGCCAGCACAGGAACAGAAAACTAAATACCACATGTTCTCACATATAACTGGGAGCTAAACATTAAGTACACATGGACATAAACACAGAAACAATAGACACTGCAGACTACTAGAGCAGGGAGGGAAGGAGAGGGATTTGGGTTGAAAACTACCTGTTGGGTACTATGCTCACTACCTGTGTCTAATATGCCCACATAGCAATGCTGCACATGTACCCCTGAATCTAAAATAAAAGCTGAAATTATTTTTTTAAAAGAAACTAGATTAGCCAAAGTAATTTTGAAAACTAAAAACAAAGTTGGAGAACTCAAACTACATAAGGTTTAAGTCTCACCCTAAAGCTACAATAAAGTTTTTGTGCTACTGGTGAAAAACAGACACATACAGCAGTGAAACAAGGTAGAGAGTCCAGAAATAGAACCATATTTATATGGTCAACTGATTTTTTATTTTGAGAGGTGGTTAGTCACTGAATGGCTTACTCTATTTTGTTAATAGCTTTATTCAGATGTAATTTACATAACTCTAAAATTCAACCACTGTGAGTGTACAGTTTGATAATTTTTAGTAAATTTACACAGTTGTCACATTGACATCATCATCCAGTTTTAGGACATTTCCGTCACTCCAAAAAATTACTCATGGCAATATGGAACCATGTTTCCCATCCCCAGCAGATCCCCAATAATCTACTTTCTGCCTATATAAATTTTTTTTTCTTAGAATGTTTATATAAGTGGAACCCACATAATATCTACTGTTTTTGTGTCTGCATTTTTCACTTAGCATAATGTTTTTGAGGATAATCTTTCTTACATGTATTAATAATTTGTTCCTTTTTGTGGTTAAATAGTATTCCATTGTATGGATATACTCTATTTACCCCTTCACCAAATGATGAACATTTGGGTTGTTTTCAGTTTTTGGCAATTACAAATAAAGACTATGAATGACTTTGTATGTTTACTCTAATTATAAACTTACAGATATTTTTAAACTTTATTACTAAAAAAAATCTGCAGGATGTTGGTCTGAGACTCTATATACCCTGACAAAATTTAATTCTATTTTATTTTTCATCATGTAATACTTGATATGAAAATAACAATGTATGTAACAGATTTAATATACAGAATATAATCGTATTGAAACCACTCAACCAAAGAACTAACATTACTAATAACTTGCATCTACACATGTGTGGCCTAACAGAGCAGTCCCCAACCTTTTTGGCACCAGGTACTAGTTTTGTGGAAAACCACTTTTCCACAGACGGGGGTGGTGAGAGATGGATTTGGGCTGAAACTGTTCCACCTCAGATCATCAGGCATTAGTTAGATTCTCATAAGAATCATGCAACCTAGATCCCTTGCATGTGCAGTTCATAATAGGGTTCGTACTCCTATGAGAATCCAATGCTGTACCTGATCTAACAGGAGGCAGAGCTCAGGTGGTAATGCTCACTTGCCTGCCACTTAACTCCTGCTGTGTGGCCTGGTTCCTAACAGGCCATGGACTGGTACTGGTCTGCAGCCCAGGGGTTGTGGACCCCTGGCCTAACATATTACTTATCCTGGAACAAGGTCCATGTGTGCTTCAGCAGAATGTTTTTCTCCTATTGCTAGGTGTAGTGTTTTGTATATCTGTTAGGCCCAATTGTTCTGTAGTGTTTTTCAAATACCCTGTTTCCTTCTTGATCTTTTGCCTAGTTGATCTATTCATTATTGAAAATGTGGTATTGAAATATACTACTATTATTGTGTTATTCTGTTCATTTTTTCAATTTTGTCAATGTTTGCTTCATATATTTTGATGCTCTGCTGTTACATTCATATGTGTTTGTACTTTTTATATCTTTCTGTTGGATTGACTCTTTTATTATTA